TTACCAGCCAGACAATGAGAAAGCACGTTCAAAAATGCATCTCGCCTCTGCTATGGCTGGTGTGGGCTTTGGTAACGCTGGTGTGCACCTTTGTCACGGGCTGTCATATCCAATCTCCGGCAATGTACGTGATTACCGGCCCGAGGGTTATGCGGATACACATGCAATTGTACCACACGGTCTATCGGTAGTCATAAGTGCACCAGCTGTATTTCAGTTCACGGCGCCCGCATGCCCGCAACGGCACTTGGAGGCCGCTCAAATACTTGGCGCAGACACCAGCAATGCGAAATTGGCCGACGCCGGTCGTATCTTGGCTGACACAGTACGTTCATTTATGCAACGCGCTGGTATTGAGAATGGACTGAATGCTTTGGGCTTCAATAGTGGTGATATTCCAGCTTTGGTGGAAGGTACTTTGCCGCAGGAGCGTATAACTAAACTGGCACCACGCCAGCAGAGCAGGGAGGACTTGGGAAAGCTATTTGAGAACTCTATGGAAATTTACTAGAGAAGATTTGCACTTACTTGTAAATGATGTATATTGCACGTAGGAGACTGGATTGCTTTTATGATGTTTTTTATTTAATTTAATAAACCGTTTTTTAGTTAATTATGCACAAAACCACAATTTTAACTTTATATAAATTTTAATCAAAACAAGCATTTGCTAACGGTACTTTCACAAACACCCGCTACCAATAACAAACCGGTGCTGCCACATTGGTAAAATTCATTTAAGTGGATAGTAGCTTGGTTTCTTAACAGAAAATTATCACAAATTATCACTAATTTCTGCTGGAAGTCGTTTCTTAAAGCGAAGCGCACATTAGCGCGATTCCATCGTTTCGAATACGTTGCGAATTCGGCTGTTAACTTCGAATCCGCAAACGTGCGCACACTTGAGCGATTTTTTCGCGTCGATTTCCGATGTACAATTCACTCAATTTTCCCTTTATTTCGTGTATTTTCGCACTCGGCGTGCCCAAATCGTACAAAATACTATAAAGCGAAGCGCACATTGGTGCGATTCTGTCGTTGCGAATCCGCAAGCCCAAAAATTACAACAATGCTACCCATACATTTTAATGCGCTAGCGCACACTTGCACGATTCCGTCGCTGCGAATTTTTCGAACATTCAATGTTCCTCTTTATTGACACGTTCGAGACGCGGCTTGCAGCGTAAACTCGAACTCGCGTAAATGTACATTTGCTAAATGCGACAGCATGAACGCTCTTCGAAAACATATGTTCAAAAGTGCTAAATGTTGCATTTTAAATGCAGCGAAAACGCGGCATCAAAGTATTTTCATTAAGCAATGTACCACGTACGGGTTAAGTAAACAATTTCTGGCTTTCCAACAACACAACAGTTTGATGTCCGCTGTATTTGCTAACAAATTTATTTCAACAGCTGTTTTTGACGTCTGGCATCTGGCAGCACTTTCTTTTTAACACGTGCGGTTTGTTTAGGTTTCGTGTTTCATACTGCCGCTAATTTAACAAGGTTCTTAATTGCAAAGAAAATAAGTAATAGCCATGGTTTTCTTTACCTGCAATCATTGTGGCGAATCTGTGAAAAAGCCAGCTGTTGCGAAACACTACAACACAAAATGTCGAGGTGCAACAAAAAATGTATCTTGCATGGATTGCCTTAAAGACTTCCATGCAGAGGAGTATGTAGCGCACACCAAATGCATAACAGAGGCCCAAAAGTACTCGGGTAAAGATTACGTCCATAAAGAACCTAAAAATAGTGGAGCAAAAAAACAGGAAAGTTGGATGGACATTATACGTGCGATACTCGATTCAGACGATTACAAATTGAGCGCACATGCACGTAGCGCATTCCAACGGTTACAGAGTGTGGACAACGTACCACGAAAAAAGGCGAAATTCCAAAATTTTGTAAAAAACTGCATGAAAATGCCAATGCGTTTGGCGGAGGAAGTTTGGAGCGTGCTTGAAAAGGAGCAGGAAAAGATGAAGTCTGCGAAGCAACAAGAAAATGTGACGCCTGTTGAAGATAGACCATATCAAAATGGAGTAAAACGCGATACATCTATAGAGAATGGACATGTGGAGACCGCCAAGAAGAACTCAAAAAAAGATAAGAAAATCAAAAATAACGAAGGAGAAGTGGTCGACGATGCAACTAGTGAATATGCTGAGCAAGCTAAAAAAAAATCGAAGAAAAATAAAGCCAATGAAGCTGAAGTTGCAACTTTAGGTGATATTAATGGAAATGAGCAACCTCCGAAGAAAAAATCAAAGAAAACAAAGACTGAAACAGACGAACTGATTATAGTTAATGAGTTGACTACAGATACAGCATTGGAGACAAACGAAGATGGTGGCGATGCCCCCAAAGAGATCGGACAGGAGGAGACAGCCAAGAAGAAATCGAAGAGGGATAAGAAAGCCAACAAAACAGAAGTGGTCAACAATTTAGCTAATGAGTATGCTAAGCCAGCTAAAAAGAAGAATAAAGCAAATGCATCTGAAGCCTTAACTGTAGCTGATATTAATACAAAAGGTGCTCCTCCAAAAAAGAAATTAAAAAAAGCAGAGTCTAAAACAGAAGAAGTAATTCCAGCTGATGACTTGAATACAGATACAACATTAGGGGCAAACGGAGATGGTGGCGATACATTTGAATGGAGCGCGGTTATTGACAAAATCGCGCGAAAGAATGCGGAAGGAATTACTGTGGAAAAATTAAAGAAACATGTACTGAAAAAATATGTTTCTAAACTTGGTGTCGAAGAGCTAACAGAGAAACAACAGAAAAAATTTGAGAAAAAGTTTGGGAAGAATTTGAAAAAATCTTCATGCCTGCAGCTTGAAGGCGAGACCGTCAAAGCGTGTTGATGTCAGAAAAACTGAACTATTTTCCAACTGTTACGAAGTAAATGTAATTTAAAAAAAATTTAAGTGAACACGCACTAGAGCTAAGTATTTTGTATTTTTAAAGAACTAATGTACAAAAACGCAATTACATTTGATATCTAAAAAGAACTTTTGCATATTTACACTCTACCTTAAAAAAAGCTAATTGTTTGTATATAAATAATTGTATGTGAGTACATATATAATTAAGCACACATACATATATTAGAAAACTTGCATTTAAGTACATATGTACATATGTGCACATGTGTTTTAACATCTGCAAATGTGACCAGCATTTAGCGCTCAATGCCACTATAATTCAAATTTGTTGTGGTTAATAAATTCTTTTAAAATTTTCTATTTGCAAGCTATAAAACCATTCAGCGTTGTCCGAAAAATTCAGTATCATTTGGAGGAAGAAACCATTCGGACTTGCGTTAAAATGCGTTTTAATACACTTTTCTGCATTTTCGGCTTCATTACCATGTGGCTTTGTGTGAGCGCAGCACCAGGCATTTTACATCATCATCATCATGGGCATCATGACCATCATATAGTGCTTGTTGAGCATCCTGTTGTAGTGGTAAAGCCGAAAGTTGTACATCCTGTAGTTGTCGCACATCCCGTGATAGTTTCGCATCCCGTAGTGGTATTGGGGCATCATCATCATCACTCGATACATTGACCTGTGGAGCATTAATAAACGCAACTCTGTTAACTGGACATGGAGAATGTAAATTTTTAAACTTAAGCAACCTAGGAAAATAAATCGCCTATTTGAAAAATTTTCGAATTTAAAGCATTCGTTATTATACTTAAATTAATTATTATGCCGAATTTCCACTAGGCATTGTGCATAGGCAACTGGCTGAGTAAGTGGGCTCGTCGGTTCGAAGCCTACTGAAAAAAGTCTGATGAGGAAATGTGGTGATTTCCGAAATAGCTATCACTTCTACCGTTTTTTCACATTATTGTTGCTTTTCCGCAATAAGTTTTTCATTAAAAATGGCCTCAAGCTCATTAAAAAAAAAAAAAATTGTTGAATATAATTGTATTAAATTTCGAAAAGTGTTTGTAAAAAGGGCGCAATTACCAGGTATTCATGAAATTTGTTATGTAAACATCTGTGTCCTGAACTAGACCCGAAATGGTCCCGAAAAAAGCCCAGAACTACCCGGAAATGGTGTATAACTGTGTTACACTGTTTCCGAAATAGACCCGAAAAAGTCTCAAAATGGTTCCGAGATGGCCCCGAAAAAGTCCAGAACAAGACCCGAAATAGTCCCGAAAACGTCTTGAACTTTTTTTGTGTAAACATCTGTGTCCCAAACTAGTATCGAAATGGTCGCGAAAAAATCCAGAACTACACCGGAAAGAGTCCAGAATTAGTCCGGAAGTGTTCCCAAAAAAGTCCCGAACTGGACCCGAAAATGTCTAGAACTAGTTGCGAAGAAGCTCCGAACTAGAATATCAGCGACCATTTTTGCTAGAACAGCTGATAAGGTTTGTTTTCATTTGTCGTACTTCTGAATTTGTCTTGGTTTATGCGTGGCGGTTTACGCAAATTTTGCCCATATAGGAAGCAATGATGTCTACACATTAAAAAATGTTTAAATTAATATTTTTTTTTTTATTGTTAGAAGTGTTCATTGGCCATCATTAATGAAATTTAGAAGCTTCTCACAAGACTCCACAGAGTCCAATCAGTTTTCCCACCAAATTTTCCCATTGCTATTTATCTGTAAATCTCAGCTATAAATACTTAAAAGCTCCGGTGATTTTCCGCCCATTTTCTGACAAAATTTACAACTCAATTAGCAGCTAATCGAACTTTGCAATCTATAGAACATAAACAAAACCGTCTTCTATTCGAGTTGGATATTTAAACGCATTTGACACTTATTCCGATTCGTTACACTAACGTTCGATTTCTATGGACATACAGTTAGATCATATCTGTAGCAATTTATGTTTGCGACATCTCATAAATATGTACATATGTACATACATATATATTACGTATGTACATATGTATGTACGCTAAAAAAAATAGTATAAAATAGGCCAAATCTACCCAGTTGACTGTTAGTCAGAACCAGGTCGCGAAACTATTTACTTTCTAAAGTGTGAAACATTGAATTAACTTTACTCCTCTCATTTTCATCAGCAATGAAGTGGTTATCGTTGTTCTTCGTTTTTGGTCTGCTCGCCTTGATCGGCAGCATGGGTTCGTTAGCCGCTGCCGAGCCACATCCTGAGCCTCGTGGACGTCCGGCCACTACCTCACGTCGTCCGCCCACTACAGATACCAATGAAGCCGGTGAACGACGCTAGCTGCCGGAGGATGTGGATGATGATGAGAGTGCAGCTCGATCGGAGTATTTCGATCGAAAGGAGCCCTATAAACCTAAACCGATGAAGTGTGCAACGCCATTGAAAAGGGGGCGTCGTAAAATAGTTGTACAATGTTATGGTGATGAAAAGTTGCAATATGTTGAAATTGTTTTTGTTTAAATAAAAAAAAAAAAAAATTAAATATGTTTTGTGATTTTTTCATAACTGCTAATCAAAAATCGAAAGCGTTTTTTATTAATTAATGTGTTTTTTAAATACATGTGTATGTGTGAATATTTATTTGCACTAAATAACAAAAGTTAATAAGCAGCATGGAGAAAAGTTGAAAAAACTTAACCAATTTTAAGTTTTCATTTAGTTTTCGAGATAAGAATCTTTGTATTTTTTAAAAAAGTAATAAGTTCTGTAAGCACATTATAAATATGGGAAAAATTCTGGGAATAAATCTGAAATGTACACCAATTTTTATTCTTTTTTCCATTTTAACAACATTTTTTGCCGAAATTTCAAAAGAAAATATGCAGTCTATTTTAGTCATTACTTCGAAAATAATTCTGAGTAAAACTAGGTACCATTTATCAAAATCAATCAAAAATTATAAACTATTGAAACCTCAAAATTAATCCAATCCAAATTATTAAAATTTTCTGCGAAATATAACGGAAGTGATTTTGGAAATATCTTTAGAAAATTCACAACTTTCGAAATTGTCTCTTGATAATTTTGTTAAAGTGGAATAAATAATAAAAATTGGTGTAAAGTTTAGATTTAATCCAAAAATTGTCCACTTATTTACAATGTGATCACAAAATTTATTATATCTTTAAATAGTATAAATATTCCAAAGACATGTAAAAACTTAATATTGGTAAAAAAAAGACTGCCTAAAAAATGTTTGATGCGGGAAGTCATGTAAAAATGGTTTTTTAAGAATAAGTCGAGAATTTGAGCGTGCAAAAAAATCTAATACGCAGTTTCGTGAATTCTTCGACGACCAGTGCTAGGTCACTTCAAAAGTTCATGATTAGTGTAACACCATGTAATCTTTCTGGTGGTATTTATTATATCCATGATACAAAGAAAACCGTGTAATATTAATGATATTGTGAAAATTTATGGACCGGCAGTAACAGGCCCCAAGTCCTTGCAATGTCTTCGCACTTGGACACATATGTTTTGTATTCAGACAAATTGTATGTAGGCAAATTTTATTTTAAAATAAATAGAAATGCATCGAATTTTTTAATTTTTTGACAAATAGTATTCTATAAATATGTTTTTTTTTTTATACCAATTCAAAGGCCAGACTTGTGAGTATGGGCCATGAGTATGTGTTTAACGACAACTGTTCGATTAACAACAAAATTACAAAAAAAAAAAAAAAAATGTGCTAATATATATTTGTTTCTTAAGAATGCTATTTTGTCAAACTCGCATTAATTTGCTGACAAGAGCCAATCTGAAAAAAAACGTATGGTAGTATATTAGATCAGCATCCTAAGCATACCCCAAAAATATTTGTAAATATATTCTAGTATCCAATTCGTGTTCTGGTTTAGAGCGAGAGTACCAATTAAGGGTAGGCCGTTCTGCATTATGTTCATTCCTTTCCAATGTCTTCAGTTTTATTTGCATGCGTTTGTCTATATCCATGCCATTTACTGCTCAGTTTCTCATTTCATTTTGTGCTATATACCTACGGTGACCATATTAACCAACGTAAAATAAAGGACATTTTTTTCAAAATGATTTGGGAGTACGCACATACAACTTGTATGATAAAAGTACCTTACCCATATAGTAATTTAAATCAAATATTTACCAGTTAATTATATTATTTAATTGTACAAGTTTCCCTGCTGTAGCGAAAACTGAAGCCAAATCCTTTTCAAGGACTTCGCCATCCTTAGCTACCAACATTCGTTTACCATAATTCATACTACACGACGAAGCCAGTGGTTCAAAATTGGAATATAATGTTCATAATTCACCGGAGCCTTTATTTTTCAACCAATTTTTGATAAAAACCAAAAAAAAATATTTATTTTGGTGAATATTTTTTTTATAACCTTTAATTTTTTTGTGTAATTTTTTCGTTTTGTAAGTAATATTTATTAACTTGAGCATTATNGAGTATGTGTTTAACGACAACTGTTCGATTAACAACAAAATTACAAAAAAAAAAACAAATGTGCTAATATATATTTTCAGTTTTATTTGCATGCGTTTGTCTATATCCATGCCATTTACTGCTCAGTTTCTCATTTCATTTTGTGCTATATACCTACGGTGACCATATTAACCAACGTAAAATAAAGGACATTTTTTTCAAAATGATTTGGGAGTACGCACATACAACTTGTATGATAAAAGTACCTTACCCATATAGTAATTTAAATCAAATATTTACCAGTTAATTATATTATTTAATTGTACAAGTTTCCCTGCTGTAGCGAAAACTGAAGCCAAATCCTTTTCAAGGACTTCGCCATCCTTAGCTACCAACATGCGTTTACCATAATTCATACTACACGACGAACGAAGCCAGTGGTTCAAAATTGGAATATAATGTTCATAATTCACCGGAGAATTTATTTTTCAACCCATTTTTGCTAAAAACCAAAAAAAAATATTTATTTTGGTGAATATTTTTTTTATAACCTTTAATTTTTTTGTGTAATTTTTTCGTTTTGGGAAAACCATACAATTATTTTTGACTAGTTTTTATTAAGTAATATTTATTAACTTGAGCATTATATTCAAAATTGCTACTTTTTCTGCATTTTGTTCTTAGAAATTTAATGTAATCAAATAAAAATTAACAAATCAGGCTCAAATGGTCTCTTGCAAATATNATAAAAACCAAAAAAAAATATTTATTTTGGTGAATATTTTTTTTATAACCTTTAATTTTTTTGTGTAATTTTTTCGTTTTGTAAGTAATATTTATTAACTTGAGCATTATATTCAAAATTGCTACTTTTTTTGCATTTTGTTCTAAGAAATTTAATGTAATCAAATAAAAATTAACAAATCAGGCTCAAATGGTCTCTTGAAAATATTGTAATCTCTCATTAAAAAAAATTAAAATTATTCAAATTAAGTGAAAAATGAGGGTTCCAGTGAATTACGTACACTAAATGCCAATTTTGAACCACTGTGCAGCAGGGGATTTATTGTTCTCTTTCAGTGGAACTGGCAACTCAGCGTGCAATACGATCCTGGCCCCAACTTTCCCTATGCTTATAGATTGTACAAAGATTACCGATTAAATAGAAACCTTTAATGGGGTGCGAAACATACTCGCGAAGGTTTTCATTATTGTTTATAAGGAAAATTTGTATTTGTCATATTCTGTCTTTAAAAATTTACCTCTGAAAAATGCAGAACTGATTTAAAGGACATTTTAAGAAATAAAGGGCAAAAGACGTCCTTTATTTTGAAAAAAAAAATATACAGGACAGAAGGTTAAAATAAAGGACTGTCCTTTAGAATACAGGACGGATGGTCACCGTACATATACCATACCGAAGGATCACAGAGTGTGGACAATAAACTTTTTTGTGGCAAAACCGAGAACAGAGAATTTCTGCATTTATGCTGTTTTTGCATCAAAAAATATATTTTCGTCTATGCAACTTTTGAATGCCGCAAAGTTTTTTATCGTCATAATGCTTAGCCATAAAAAAGTTTGGGTCGGACTATAACAGTCAACAGTCCCATAAGTTGTCTGCAGTGCAGTCCAATCTGCTCAATGAAAACAAATACTTAGTTAGAGAGATTAAGAAAAACACGAGTTTCGTCCACCTGTATCCTCTCGAGTCCTCCCAGTTATTACTGGGCGAAATAATTCTGAGGGTGGTTGCGGACCGTGGAATACCTCTCTGACCAAACGGTTCGTTGTGTTTTCCAAAATAATTTAGTTAAAAGCTTGGCTATCACTAAAGACCCGTAAATGAACAGTTTATGGCCCAAGAATCTACATACTTTTTTATAGGGTTGGCGATAATTTTGCTTAGAATTGCAGTAAGCTGACCCGTTACAAGTATGGCTTCATCGTTGGTATAAGCCATCCCCTTTGTTTTCATGGGGATCTAGGTTTACTAGTAGTTTCTTTAAGGAGATCCTATGGGGGAGTGAAGTGAATCTACAATCTATCCCCACCCACTGCCCGACGAACGCTGAGAACGACTCGAACTTTATGAAGGGTGGACTCTTACGAAAAATCCAGAAGCGTCTGACCCACATTGGGCGGCAGGACAATTTTCACCTGGCAGTAGGTATAAAATGCAACCCAGGATCCAAACAGTTAATTGGTAATGGACTTTAACTTTTCACTCAGTATGTCGACAATATTTATTAGACNGGCGAAATAATTCTGAGGGTGGTTGCGGACCGTGGTACCTCTCTGACCAAACGGTTCGTTGTGTTTTCCAAAATAATTTAGTTAAAAGCTTGGCTATCACTAAAGACCCGTAAATGAACAGTTTATGGCCCAAGAATCTACATACTTTTTTATAGGGTTGGCGATAATTTTGCTTAGAATTGCAGTAAGCTGACCCGTTACAAGTATGGCTTCATCGTTGGTATAAGCCATCCCCTTTGTTTTCATGGGGATCTAGGTTTACTAGTAGTTTCTTTAAGGAGATCCTATGGGGGAGTGAAGTGAATCTACAATCTATCCCCACCCACTGCCCGACGAACGCTGAGAACGACTCGAACTTTATGAAGGGTGGACTCTTACGAAAAATCCAGAAGCGTCTGACCCACATTGGGCGGCAGGACAATTTTCACCTGGCAGTAGGTATAAAATGCAACCCAAGATCCAAACAGTTAATTGGTAATGGACTTTAACTTTTCACTCAGTATGTCGACAATATTTATTAGACTTATCTCGCGGTATTGACGCAGGATAACATCTTTTTGTGAATTGGAATAAGTACACTAAGATTTAAATTTTCGGGTATTAATCGGAAAAAATTGTGCCTAACAGAGCAAATATCTAGGAATACAAAATACGTAAAATCATTTATCATCCAGACGAACTTTTGCCCCATTGCTGACTGGGCTGACTTATCGGTAAATCTTGCCCACAATTACCTTTTAAATGGAATAGTATACAATTAATTTATCGCATTTCATATACTTATACATACATATGTATGTAAGAAACGATCAATGAAATATTCTGCGCAGCCGAACTTTAGCTTGAAATCTGTTAAGGCTATAATTACAATTGATGACGCACAGCTGCGATCGGAAAACCCCCTGGTAAATCCCAAAATTAAATTTGTACTAGCAATAAAAAGGGCAAATTCTTTCGCGTGCTAAATAGTTACAGCTAATTAAATTTATCAAAAATAAAAACTATAATCTATTACTAAAGTAAATGTAATTCTGCAGAGGCGTGACAGATGCAAAAATTTAATTTAAATAATCTCTCAGTGGCCTATATAAATGTGAATATAAATGAGAAAATAATCAATTGGTAGTGAGTGACCAGCGATTGA